TTACGATGATGGTATACTCCTGAAGAGGCCGCTTTCAAATCGTCTTTTTATTTCTATCTATTCTCGAGTACATGAACACTGCTGACGACCGCCGCTGCCCTTTCTGCTGACTCCGAAATACTGCTCAAATACTACTTCAACCTTTCAGGCGCGTGTAACGCGTCGCAGTCACGTGTAAATGACAACTGTCGAGACGCCTCAGACCCTTGATGAACGGTCCCTCTGGGCCTCTGACTCTGAGCGTTTACGCATACTGAAACTTACTGAAACACCCCTTCTTGACGCAACTTTCAACCTGTGGGGAAACTGTGGACCGGGTCCTCGCACCGCTCTCGATTTCTGCGGGTGTGGCGCGTGACAGCCACATGCTTCGGCCGCTGGGAAATGTTACTAGTGGTCTATCGCAGCAATAACCACCGTTTTAGTTCAGAATGGTTTGGGGCTCTCAGTCATTCGATCCAATTTCAGACCTCTCGGACATAACAGGCAAGGTTATTGTTGTCACCGGTAGCAGGTGAGCGTTCCTGTGGTGCCCTGGTTTGCTCACGCGTCCGCCCGGTGCTAACATCCCGCGATGCGACGGCGGGCAGTGGTGGCATAGGGTATGCGACCATCCAACACCTCGCGCGGCATGGGGCGAAGGTATACATGGCGGCTCGGAACGAGGACAAGGCTAAAGCGGCGATATCTCGTTTGCATTCCGAGGGTCTCGGGCCAGGCAACGGAGAGGTGCTCTTCCTAAAGCTCGATTTGAGCGACCCGAACGATGTTCGAACCGCAGCGGACGAGTTTATGAAGGATGAAAGCAGACTCGATGTCCTCGGTACGTACACATCGTACGCCGCCCTGAATATTGCGATGACGGTACTTGATCGTGCGCGGATGGCACAGTGAACAACGCGGCTATGTAAGTGGGGTTTCCCAATATGATGCATCGCACTGGTGTATAACATTTTCGCGTTCACCGCAGGCCGCGTGGGCCGCATGCAAAGACACTCTACGGTTAGTTCCATTCGTCGTGCACGGGTATCGCGATTGTGACGCCGTTGATCGCAAAGGCGTCCAAGATGTCATGATGACGAAGTGAAGCGTGTTTCAATCCCTGCTGTCCTGTGCTCACTGGAATCTCAGCCATGTGGGCCCTTTCGTGCTGACGACCACGCTCTTGCCACTTCTTATAAGAACAGCAAGGGACCCGCAAAGTGATGTCCGGATCATCAATGTAAGCTCTTATACTGATTTCAAGTGGGTGTTCTTGACACAGTTCTATTGGTGGCCACCACAGGTCTCTTCGAGCGGTATCTCGTTCCTCAAACGCGGCATTCGTTTCCGCGACCTGGATGACTTCAATGACGAGCACAGAGGCGAGCTAGCCCCAGGGCTAGCCAGATACTGTGGGCCTGCACCTATTTCTATCCCGTACCATCTGAAACAATGTGCAGGCAGGAGTAAGCTGGCCAATGTCCTGTTCACCACAGAACTGCAGAAGCGACTCGATGCTGCGGGGATCCCCATCGTTGTCATGGCCGTTGATCCCGGCCTCGTTCGCACCGGTTCGTCCCCCAGTTGCAATATATGCAATATATCTGATAAATCCCTCACTGGGGTTTTCTATGTCTTCTCAGACGGTGTCATCAACGACACTGCCTCCCAACCCCCCGTAGTCTCCCACATTTTCTCTTTAATCACAAAGCTCTTTTGGACATCCCCCTCCCACGGCGCGCATACATCTGTTTTCGCGGCAGCCGCTCCTGCTG